TACTGAATGGAGCACTGAGTGTTATACACAAACAATGAATCAAGGAACACTACATCAAAAACTAATGATCTACTGTATGGTGACTAACATAACATAATAAAATAAAATTAAAAAAAGGAAAAAAAGTTTTGAATAGTGATAAAAAAAGAAAAAAGGAAACATCTTTCTTGTATCATTATGACATAATTTGGTCCTTCCCCCTCTGTGCCACCCCTCCCTCCTACCCAGGGGCCTTTCTGATTATAAAAAAAAAAAAGAGTCAAGAGAACCAGTGGTCTAATAATTATAACAATAATAATAGCAACTTATTACTGCATGCTTCCCAGGTACTTCATTTAATCCTTGCAATGAACCTGAAGTAGAATTTTAGAGATGACAAAACCAAGAATTAGAGATTAACATCTTGCCAAAGGTTGCCCATTTAGGCAAGCGGTGTCTGGTAGATGTAGAATTTGAAGCTAGCCTGTTGGGCCCGGAAGCCCTAGTCCTTAGATTCTTCTTTATCATCACACAGCCCCCAGGTATCTATGCAAATGTCCTGGGCCAGTGGATTCTGAGAGGAACCAAATCTAGAAGTTGCCTCTTGGGTTTAAGGGGTTGAGAAACACAAAGGAGGAGGACCTAAGCTAGGCCCCACCCCTAGGAGGAGTGGGACCTGGCATTCTTTACCTTCTATGATATGTGACATGTCCTTCTTTAAAGTCAAACTTGTGCAGGAGGGCTTGCCCATCAAACAGGTGGTAAAATGGTTCAGATCCAACTTCAAAGAGTCCTGGTCCACATCGAAGGAGACTGCCAGTGAGCCAGAGGGGGATCCTGCCTGTGATGAAAGTGAGACATAGAACATTGTTTCTTACCCCTGCCCTTTGCTGGGCTCATCCCTGGCAAGCGGTGGTGATTATATTAGCAGCTCAGTTGGGCAGACTTTTTGTAAAGCTGATAATGATTTTCATTCCCAGCTCTCACCCTGGGTGGCCCTTACAAAATGCTTGCTGACTTGACTCCCCTTTCGCTAGGAGACCAAATGGTGGGAAACATTGCCATGCCTGGGTTTGGATAAACGGTGGGACGAAGACAAGGAAAAGCACCTAGGGACTCTGGAGGAAATGGGAGGGCAATGGGACCCTGCACCTAACAGATTTCCCCAGATACCAACACATTTGCCTTTTTACCATCTCACTTTTAAGAAGAATTTCAAATTTCTTGATGTATTTTGATGGAGTGAGGGGTAGGAAAGGTGGATTAGGAAAAGGGATCAAAACACTAAAAAAAGGTGTTTCTATGAAAGAAGCCATCTAAATGGCAACAAGAATACTGGCTTTTTAAAACCTATTCCTTTGAGGGTATGGGCTACTGTCCAGATGAGTAACCTCCTGAAGGAGAAATTGCACAGGGCTCGCTGTCAGAGACCTGGATTCTGGTTCAGGATTTGCCACGTGCTATCTCTGGGGTCAGTGTCCTCATCTGCAGGATGAGGGGTACACAACAAAGGCCATAAAGCCTTTCAGTTTAAGCAGTTAGGTCTGTGCCCTTGTATCCTTTGGAAGGTGCAGTGTTTGCTTAATCCTTACAAATTTTTTTTAAACAAATGGATTATTTCCTGCAGTTCCATTTCAGCAGCCTGCTTCATAAGAATGTACAATTCTGATAAAACCTTTAAGAAGGCATGACTTAACTAATGACACAACATAATTTGATTGCTAGAACCTAAATTGTTAGCATCAGAATCTAGCTGAGAAAGAATGTTTAGCTCCTCCCTTTTATTTTACAGAAGAGGAAATGGGAGGAAAGGGACTTGCCATGTCCAAGCAAGGATGCTGTATGGGTCATGTGATGTCTTTGGATAATGCTAACAATAGTAATAATAAACAACCACTTGTTGGCTGCTTTATTTTGGACACTAGGTGAATCTTTCAGTTATCTTACTCAATCTTCACAATATCCCCATGAGGGAAAGTTTGGTTTTTGATAGGTGAGGGAACTGAAACTCAGAAGGTTTAAGTAACTTGTAAGATTCCCAGCTAGTAAAATAATGGAGCTGCAATTAGCTGCAATTAGCACCACATTGTCTGACTCCAGAAGCAATACAACAGGCATGAACCTACCACCCTTTATTGTAATATTTCCAGATGCTTGTCACCTGGTCCTCACTTACCCAGACACTGGAATGGATAATGGAACAGACATTTCTAGGAAACTGACTATGTGCCAGGCACTGAGTTAGGCACTGACAGTTTAAAGATGACAAAAGATGTAGTCCCAGTCCTTAAGGAATTCTAGTTAGACAGCATGTTTCTCCATTAGGGAAATAAAAGGTAAATGAGAGGACATGGGTTTCTGGCAGAAAAGGCCCACACCTCCAGATTCCCCTCTCTGGAGCCCACAGGGGGAACCACCACTGAGAGATGCCAATGAATAAAAAGCCAGAGAAGAGGGATCTTGACAAAAATAGAGAAGATGGTTTCAAGACTGGTGAGACCAACCTGTAACATGAGCTGTGAGCGGTGAGGACAGTTCCTCCACAGTTTCAAACAGTTTCTTGTAACCACCAGCAGGATGTTCAACTCTGAAAAGGTGGAATAATTGGGAAGAAGCCCACGTTGGTACTCAGAGAAGTCCCCTGAGACAGAGGCAGAGCTCCAGGAGAAAAAGCATTCTCTGGTTCGATGTCAGAGCACCACTGCCAGTCTAGCCTTTGCTTGGGGGTCACAGAAATGTCCTCAGGATTCCTAGTGGGGGGGTGGGTGCTGGGTCAGTGCTCTACTTTTGATGTCAGGGGAAATGACCTCCCTTTTATTTATTTTTTTCCCTCTTTTTTAAAAATTTTATTTTGTTATGTTATGTTAGTCACCATACAATACATCATTAATTTTAGATGTAGTGTTCCATGATTAATTGTTTTTGTATAATATCCAGTGCTCCATGCAAAACGTGCCCTCCTTAATACCCATCCCTGGGCTCATCCATCCCCCCAGCCCCTCCCCTCTAAAACCCTCAGTTTGTTTCCCGGAGTCCATAGTCTCTCATAATTTGTCTCCCTTTCCAATTTCCCCCTTTTAATGTCACAGTGGACTTTTATTCTGCCCTCTGCAGTCTTCCCACATTTCTGACGACAAATCAACTAATCCTGCTGCTATCACTTGTCTTCCCCCAGAATTACCCCGTCCTGTCGCTACTCTAAGTGCACTGAATCATTGATTCTCTTGCCTTATCCCTCTCCCTCCAAGAGTTGGGAGATGACAGCTTTTTGGGTCAGTAACTCACTCTTTGTTATTCACCCATATTATACCATCATCTCTTCCTATCATCCTATTTCTTCACCAATCTCCAAGAGCTACGGTTCTCTTTAAAAATAGGCTGACTAGGAGATTCAGGTTTCATATTTTTTATTTGTTTCTTACCTCCTCACGTTGGCTTCATTTTATAACTTCTTGGAGTGGGGACTCTGACTAGACTCCCTAATTATGATAGCTATCTTTTATTAAGCACTTACTATGTGCCACACACCATAAGGAGAATTTTGTATACTCTTAGCTCATTTAAATGTCACAATACCACAATGGGGAAAATATGGCTCTTATGCTCATTCGATATCTAGAAAATCATAGACTATGAAAGGCTAAGTCCAAATCACACTGCTAGGAAATGGCTGCAACCTAGGCCTGCCTCATCACAATCGTCATGCTCACAACTGTTTCCAAGGCCCATTCACAAAAATCCCACAGTAATTTAGACTGCAATTCTAGATATTTGCTTCAATATATAAATAGGAAGAAATTCTCCCCTTCAAGATCCGAGGCGGCCTCCCATAAGCAGGCCATCAATCCTCTTCAGGACCTCTTGAAATAGCCCATTTACCATCGACCCACTAGGGCATTTAAAAACACCTCCCGGAGATACTTACTGGATGGACATTTTCTCTCAGTGGAGGATTGAGAGTTCTGGCACCAAGTGCAGAATGAGGAAGCAAGTCCTCAACCAGGGCATTTATATGCCTTCTAAGTCTCTCTGAAAGGAATTAGGGCTTTCCCACCCCCTCAGCTGAGAGAAGGGGAACAGAAGTGGCTTTCAGCACTCAGATCCTCCTGATGCTTGAGCATTATTTGGGTTTGCTGTTCCCATAACAGCTTTCTGGCTGTTTTCCAGAGACCTCAATCCTTCCCAGAGAGAATGACAAGTGGATTGGAAAGAAAGGAGCTGTGTGGGAGTGGCTAGCATCAGGACTGAGCTGATCCGGGTCACCCCACTGGAACCTGGCATCATTCTCTGGCCCTCACCTCCCTCTCATCTTCACTCTCATGTATTCCTTCACTTACTTATTTTTTAAAACATCTATTACATATCGTCTATGGGCCAGACAGATGGGCGCTGTCCCTGTCGTCACAGATGTTGTCACTCTGCAAGGACAACAGGATACTAACAAACTATTCAATAACATTTTATAAGTGTTATGATTGGAACAAGTATGGAGTGTTACGGAAACACATTGTAGCACCTCCAACCCTCTCTGGTCGCCTTATTGGCCCCATTCATCACCCTAGTTACAATGAGGCTGAAGATTTTTTTTTTTTAAGATTTTATTTATTTATTTGACAGAGAGAGATAGCGAGAGAGGGAACGCAAGCAGGGGGAGTGGGAGAGGGAGAAGCAGGCTTCCTGCCGAGCAGGGAGCCCGATGTGGCGCTCAATCCCAGGACCCTGGGACCTGAGCCGAAGGCAGATGCTTAACGACTGAACCACCCAGGCGCCACCAGGCTGAGGATTTTATGTCCTTTAGATTTGCTGGGATTGAAACTCTTTTCATCTCCTCATTTTTCACTAGTGCCTGTTTGTTCTGCACCTCACCATCCTGTTCACTGGTATGTGTGCTGCCCTCAGAGAGTAGATAGCACTATTTCCTTCACATTTCCATCAGCCTTAGTTGTTTGTCAGCACAGACATGGTGCTGCCCAAAGGAGTCCCTGGAAACAAAGTATCTACCATACCTGCTGACAACTTTAACATTTTTTGAGAAACCCTTTATCCATTTTGAATTTAAGAAGTAGTTATGACTATTAACCCTAGACCTCCTCAGTAAAACAACCTGAGCATTCCCAAGATAGAAGATAGGAGCTTCATTTCCCAGCCTGCCTTGCAGTGAGGGCAAAAGCATGTGACTGGGGCTTCACCAATCAGAGGAAGGGGCAGAGATACTAGTAGGAGCACCTGGTGCCCAGCACCAGCTAGGTCTCTGCCCATCCAAGGCTGTCATAGTGTCTCCAGGGGAGCCATTCTACTGTGGAGCCTGGAGTATTATCACTGGCCTGGTATTCTCCAAACCCCGTCCTTTAGCCATATCAGAGATTCTGTTAGCTACCTAATATTAAAATTATTTGTGTAGCTGCTTGATTAACTGAAATTGGTTTCATTGTTTACAACTAAGAGCTCTGTCTCTATAAAATGATGGTAATATAGGACACTGTAGTATCACATAGGATGAACATCTATATTGGTATATGGAGGTCCCAGAGGGATTTTTGAGGAAGTCTCTAAGCTGAGATAAGGAGAGTCTGTAAAAGTTAGCTAGTCAAAGGGCAGGGAGAAGAGCGTTCAGACATAGCTTGTAGCATTCACCAAAGTCTACAAGTGAATGTGATTTGGGGAAATGGCAAAAGATGAAGCCAGATTTGAGATGACCATAGGCCAGATTTTGTAAAGCTTTGTAAACTGTGTAAGGAAATTGAGACCCATATCATGAGAACAGAGGGAATCACTGGAATGTGGTATTCAGAAGAGTAATACCATCTGATTTGCATTTTATTAAGACTACTTTGATTACATTGTATATAATATATTGGAATGGGAGATTTGGGCAAGATAAATCAGAGACCAAACAAGTGAAGGTAACTGATGTGATGCATTGGGGTTGGATATGAATGGTAAGATTCAAGAGATATTTCAGAAAAGGACTGATCACATTTTGTGCTTGGTAAGTACACTGAGGAAATAAAAGGTAGAGAAAGGATGACCGCTTGGTTTCTGGATTGAAATATGGTACAAATACTTGAGAAAGTATACACTGTGTGTGTGTGTGTGTGTGTGTGTGTGTGTATTAGAGACAGAGAGATGTTTTAGAGATGCAGAGAGAATGAATTCTGATTTTGATAAATTTGTTAAAAAGATGACTGGGGGCTGTAATAGTTTGAAGGCTTCATAGGGAAGTAGAGCGAGTTGGCATCTGAAGGATTGGCAGGGTGTGGACACAGAGAAGATGGAGAGGATATCTGGTGATGGGAGCAGAGTGAGAGAAGGCAGAGTAGGCAGTTTGGGAGGCAATGTTCCAAGGAATTTCTATCTCTTGCACTATTTCTGTTGGATTTTGTTTTCTCGGAAGTGTCTCTTCTTGAATAGAATTATGGGCCATGTTGTGATACCTATACACTGTCAATCCCCTGAAGAGAAATTCCAGGAATGTCAGAACCCAGCTGCTTTTCTTCATTTTCTCCCATTGAAAGGGGCCAAAGCAGAGGCTTTGTGGCAGCCAGGTGCTAGAAAACCTACACCAGCTGAGTGATGAAGCATTGACAAACTGCATTTTCTATTGAAGAGCATTTTCTGGGAGATGAAAACCAACCTGACTGGTGACCATGACTGTACCAGATGCCTTTCATAGGTATTCCTGTGCTGCTCTTGGTATTCTGGGGCCATAGCCACGTTGCTTAATTGTAGGAATGGGTTTTGGTGATTTTTGTATTTAGTTTTGCATCTGTGGTAGCCTTTATTCTCCAGCCTATTTCAATCCTAGAAGTCAGTGGCTTGAGGGCCATTTTAAAAATACAAATCATAGCGATTCATTCCTGGAAGACGTATAGGCTCATGGATCATGTGAATCATCAAGTTAACATGCTTGATTAAAGTCAGAATGAAAGCTAATTACTGTGCACTGATCCTCATGGAACCCTGAGTTCTTCAGGTATAAAACAAGGAAAATATGCAAAAACATTTTTTAGCACCAAGTACCCTCTGTACAAATATTAAGTGATATTTACCAATGCTCATTCATAGGGAGTTTGATTTCATATCTAATCTTCTAGCTAACACCTCTTACCTCAGGGCAGCCCATTTCTATGTATTCTCTCTTGGTGTGAAGTCAGAGAACAGCTGGGCTATATCCTTTCCAAAGTATTGTTTTGACCTCTTAACTTCTAACACCCAAAATGTGGACCTCTTTCTCAAGTCTATATGTATTTTTCTGTCATTTCATTGTTATACACTGGATCACCAATCTATTGTTACTTTTTCTTTCATCCTCTCCTCTTATTCTCCACTTTAATTTTTTGTTGTTTGGACAAGTCAGATCTTCATGTTCATTTTATATATCTGCCAAAGAAACTTTCATTTTTTTAAATTTAAATTTTAGTTAGTTAACATACAGTGCAATATTGGTTTCTGGAGTAGAATTCAGTGACTTACCATTTACATACAATACCCAGTGCTCATCGTAAGTGCCCTCTTTAATACCCATCACCCATCTAGCCAATCCCCCACCCCCCACCTCTCTCCATCAACCTTCAGTTTATTCTCCATTGTTAAGAGTCTCTTATGGTTTGTTTCCCCTTTGCTCCTCCCCCTCCCATATGTTTATCTGTTTTCTTTCCTAAATTCCATATGTGAGTGAGATCATATGGTATTTGTCTTTTTCTGACCGAATTATTTCACTTAGCATAATACACTCTAGCTCCATCCACATTGTAGCAAATGGCAAGATTTCACTTTTTTAAAAAAGACTATTTATTTATTTGCCAGAGAGAGAGAGCACAAGAGAGAGCACAAGCAGGGGGCGCAGCATGCAGAGTAAGGGGAAGAAGCAGGCTCCCAGCTGAGCAGGGAGCCAGATAGGACCCTGGGATCATGCCCTGAGCCGAAGGCAGATGCTTAACCTACTGAGCCACCCAGGCATCCCATGAGATTTCACTTTTTTGATGGCTGAGTAATATCCCATTGAAACTGTTTAATTTTGATATATTTTGGTACATTTACCAAAATAGTATTCCGTGAATTGAAACAGTAAGACACCCTTCTTCAGGCAGAGATTTCTTAATAGGAACTGATTCCACATTTCTTGGAAGAAACCATTTTGGAGAGTATAATACAAGCTACTTTTTCATCCTGGCACATGGCAGACCATGCAGGGCTTAGAGATCATGGTGAAGAGCTTGGATTAGATTGTATTCTGAGAGCAATACGAAGAAATTAAAGGGTTTTGAACAGGGGAATGACTGAGGTGATCTGACTTACATCACTCTCCCTGATACTTGAAGAACAGATTGTAAATGTCTGGAGTGGAACTAGAGAAAGCCGTAATAGTTCAGGTGAGGTGGTCATGGTTCTCAGTCTAGAGTGGAGCAATGCAGATGGAAAAAAAGTGGATAGATTTGAGGGCTGTTTTGTAGGTAGAAGTATAGGATTTTGTGTTATGTTAATTGATATGCCTGGGATGTAAGAAAATGGGGTCATGGGGCCTATCACTTATCTACTGTAACATAAAAATTAAACATCAAACCTCAGTGTCCTCCAACAGTCAGGGCCTGGGTTGGTTGGCTAGGTAGATTTGCTGATATTGGCTGGATCTGCCCTCATAATTGGATTTGCCTGGCTGTTGGCTAATCTCCAGGTCTCAGATGGGATGAGTGGGGTAAATTGGCTTTACCACATGTGTTTGTCCAGTAGGGTAACCTGGGCATATTCTCCTGCCCATGGCAGAAATGAAAGTGAGCAAACAGAAATACAAAAAGCTGCTTAAGGGCTAGGCTCAGAACTGATAACACTATCACTTCCACCACCTTCTGTTAGCCAAAACAAGTAATGAGACCAGCCCATATCTCAAGGGGTATGAAAATAGCCTCTGCCTTAGTGAGAACTATAGTGTCACATACCAAGGTCATGGATACAGGGAGAGATGAAGAATTAGGGCCGTTTTT